TCTAATTTTGGCCCCAGAAGTTTCGGAGAACAACAGCTGTTCATGAGCTTCAAAATTTTTGCCCGACTCTGAGTGTTTGCGGAGCAAGCCTCTGGAACCGGGACTCTGCTTGAAACCGAACGATTCCACGTGTTGCCCAGTATGATGTCGATGAATTCTTCTGGCTGCTGATGGCGTGTGCTGATGCGACCACCGTTCATGCAAGGTTGATACATTCGATCAAGCTGGAGTTTAGGAGTAAGAGTTTGGCGTCACCCCATCTGCATCGCTAGGAGCTTCGAACCTTGCGGCTGCAGGACCCGAGGGATTACAGAGATCATGTCGTAGAGCAACATACAAGACAGAATGACAGCACAGAGCTGGACAATACCATGATGTGTTTTCACTTGACTCTGCAGCTTGCCACTCTTGCTCTGCATACCGGGTGTGTTCGACGCACAGACCAGTCTGGAGTGTCTTGGGCTGGTAGGTAGGCAGGTCTGCCAATCGCTGAAGAAGTACTAGGAATCATGTCGAGCTTGTGAGCACAGTATTCTTGGGAGTGTGAGGTGTGAGGGATCTGCGTTGCAGCTCCCCGATTTCTAGAGAAGGTCCTGTGGGAGCCAAGAGATCCCTCAAAAATCCAAAAATACTCGTAGGATACCAGAAGGCTCAAGGCCAGAGGCTGCAACCGAGCAGGCATGCGCCAGAATAGCTGCAAATCCATTCCTGAAGTTAGGAATGCTGGCCAGGTAGACAGAGAGGTTGAGTGAGATCCTACACGACTGCACGAGCCTCACTGCTGAACGGGTTTAGCAATTACAGCCACTACATGCTTGCTTGTCGTACTGCTACGTGTAGCGACGTGGTAGAACTGGTCCGGTACGCTTTCCACGACAAGGCAGGAATCAGGAAGCTCCAGAAGGAACGCCAGCTTACCTAAACCCTAGACCCCTGAACGATCGCCAGTCATACGTAGGAATACTAGATGGCGCGATCGTCTTTGGACCATAGATGCTCGCGCATGGGAAGCCATAAAAACAGGATGGCCAGCGACAGCTCATGGACGAGCTGGCCGCTTTGGCTAGTAGGGTTATTGCCGGTTATGGGCCCGCGGGATTTGGGATTTGGTGCTTAGTGGGAGGGCATTGAGCGGGCGGGCCGCAGCTGTGTAGCCATGAGTGTCAAGCAAGCTGTTCGTGAAGCCTTTGTTGCTCTGCCCGGGGCAGTTCCGTAAAAGCGTGCTCACATTTCGCCAAGCTGCTGAGATGTGGATGCAAGACTTGGTTGGCAGGCACTTTTAGAGGTTGCGGGTTGTAGCTTCCCGCGAAGATGTGCATTCTCTTCGCCCCTTCCCCTGCAGCCTTCGTGTCAAGGATTTCGTGTACCTCAAGCAGAGACATGCGCAGCTGGAGCTGGACTTGAGTTCAAACGCATATACCATCCCGGAAGTAACTAATCAGTGACCTTTTGCGCCCTTCTGGTTTCGCAAGTCCCAAACGGACGATGGGCGCCTCTCATACTGCAAGGCAGAGAGCTAAGGGTAGCACCTGGATAACCACGTTCAGAATACGCGTATTTGTGTTCGGCTGCGTCTGCCCAGTGCCGAACTCCGGCACTGTGGCAGCGATAACGGCAAGCACACGAAGGAGAGACTTGAACCAATTCCTAGGGAGATAAAGACGTGCGGGGGCCCGCCGTCTAAAGTTACTTAGCTACTACTAGTACAAGGCCTACAAAGGTTACTTTCAGGGTTCGGGCCTGGCCGCAACGATAAGTTCAGTGCGCAACAGGTGGTGGCAGGCCCCGGCCAGAGCTTGGGTTCCTAAGTTCTTGCAGAACATCCCTGGGTGAACGGCCCGGGTACCTGCAGAGGGTCTCACTTCCATACTGCCGTGCCTGGCGACGGCATATACAACAGCCTCTCGAAGAGAGGAGGCCATTGGAAGAACCAGTGGTCCGAGGAGTTGCTGCTAGCCTCAGAGGAAAACAGGGATTAAGCTGCTAGTGGGGTTTTGGGTATTAGAGTGGTATTAGTATGTATTAGTATTAGAGTACGAGGGTTTAGGGAAGTAGAGTTTGGGGTTCAGGGTCGGAGTTCGGAACAGAACAGGGTTGCAAGTAGAGCGTTCACGAGTAGCGAAATACGTGAAGTCTCAGATTGACTCTACAAAAGCTCCTCAACCGATTCGCAGACACTTCCTCAAATCTCAGACCCTGCAGAGCGAGATCTGCGACTCGCAGCTGTGGACTCGAAGCCATGTGGCTCACAGGACATGGCGTAAGCCATCGGGTGTCGCCTGAGGCAATACCGCCGCGAGTCGGTTGCCTCAGGCAGACTGGCGCTTGGGGGGGCCTGCTACCGGGAGAGGTTTGGAGGAAGAACCTGCTGAAGAGTGTGTACATAGCGCTATGTAATGTAGTGCCATCGCTGTGATGCCAAACTATGTAATGCTATGCATTGGAATGGTATGTTATGTTACGTTTCGCAGTGTCACATAGTGCTATGTAGTGCGAGGTAATGCTACCTAAAGTTCCTTTCCATCATGCTACGTGATGATATGCAATGTTGTGTAACGTAGTGCTATGTAATGCAATGTACTTCAGTGCATTGCAATGCTATGCTATATGATGTTATGTACTGGTATGTAATATGTAGTGTTACGCAAGGTTTTGTCGTGTTAATGTGCTGCTATCAAGATTTACACATGTAATGATCTGTGGCAGTGCCATGATATGTCATGTAATGTTATGTACTGCTATGCAGATGATGCAGTGCCAGTGTTACGTAATGGTATTTACCGTTAGGTAATGTATGCATGCATGTATGTGCCGCCGGCGGTTAGATTGAGTGCGAGAGCAAGGGATTCGAGGGATTCTACAAAGGGCCGTTTTCAGCTTTGGGGTTGAGTCAGGGTGCGCTTTGAGCCGTCCCCAACCCAGAAAGTGTTGCTAGCAGGAGTGTTGCATTCTACGTTGCTGCAGGCACGGTTCCTGAATTTCCCCGACGGATAGCCCCGAGCACTCGACACGCGACACCTCGAAGGTTTTCAATGAAGCAAAGCGCCCTGCTGGGACTGCTTGGGATCGCCCTGCTCCTGCCATGTGCAACGGCGAGGTCGGCCTGTAGAGACTGTAGAGCTGCAGACATGGGTAGTTACTTGTTGAGGTTGCTTCTTGGGAGAATTCCATAGTATCTTCGGTGCACTTCATTGCCCACTTCGCGATATGGTCCGTTGATGCTGGTGCTCGAAACGCTATTCTTGACCATCATCGGTGCTAAATCATCAGCCGAACCGTTTTGCTCGTCGATTCTTCATTCTTTACAGACCTACGTGCGCTATGCACAATTCCGAGAATCGGAATGAATTTGCGTGCTTGTGTGGACAGCACAGATGTTCAAACCAAGTGCAGCTGAATGCTGCCACGCATTCCTTTGAGCCTGTGCGGCCCCAAGAGTTGAGGATGCTGTCTGAAGATTTTCTGGTGTCTTGGCCCACTCGACTTAACCCGAAACTCGAAGCCCTGAAGCTGCAAACAGAAAGTGCGTCCTTCGTGGCCCTGGCGGCGCTTCAAAGCCCCTGAAGGAAGCTGGGCTCCGCGAGCTCTGCCCTGCAAGCCTCCGGCTGAAGCCTCAGGACCCTGGCATTTCCAAGAGATGCGGGGCATGTACGTGCACATCTCTGTATGAATCTGTACATATGTGGGTAGGGAGGTGGCTTGGGTAGGTTAGGTAGGTTAGGTAGGTTAG